AGTTGCAATATGTACGACATCCATATGTTGGTTTTCCTTTTTCAGCATTTCGTTAAATGTATCAGCAATTTCCTCATTTGAGATTGAAAAAAGTTTTTGTGTGACCCTCTTTTTTTTACCTTGAACATAAGTCTTCGTATGACTTGCAAGGCGCTCCTGTTGATGTGTTGTAAGTTGAGATTTCCGTAGTAGTTTCCATCCAACTACAAAATTTTAATCGAAATTTCTTTTGATTTCCATCCACAGACTTACTTTTTACATCAAAAAGTTTTAAAAAGTTTTCAATTTTTGATATGCCTGTTTTGTTTACTTTTCTACTATATGTAGTTTTTATATAATTTGAAATGTCTTCAATTCTTTCTGGCCCTTTTGAAGATATACTCCATAAAACGGAACACAACTCTTCGTACTTTAATGTAATCTTCATTGTAGATTTATTAAATATGGTACTTAAAATCTGAGAAGTTTACTTATATACCAATTCTTGTCATTTCCGATACAGGTATTCCAAAGTAAAAAATTACGAATTGTCTACCTATTAACATTTAGGACTATATTACTATAACCTGTATTTTTATTTTTACCTACATGATCATAAACGAAACAGAACGAAATGATCTGTCGAAAAAATTTAGGTAAAAAATAGTTATAAATTTTTGAAAATTTAAGCATAATAGGACCTTTCAATTATAAGGATAAGCAAACAAATAGAAAATAGGTAAATATAAGATTTAAATATGTGCTGTCATACTTAATACTAAAATATGAAAAAGATGAAATTAAAGGACACAGGTTTAAATGAACATATTTTTGAATGTAATTGAGATATTGGCTTGAAATTTTTTGTAAAGGGTCGAGAATTTCCATATCTAACTAAAAAATGATATTAAGGGATAAATATGGACTAAATTGTTGTAGCTATCTGCGATCCTATTAAAATTTTGATATAAATCATAGTTTTAGAAATTAAACAAATATGTAATATATGACAAAATCTTTATTTATGAACAAAACTCAATGAAATTTTCAACGCTTGTTAAATTTGTCATTTCAAATAAGAATATGCAAAAAAAAATTGAAAAGGTCAAAGGGCATCCCGCAATTCCCAAAAATAGGAATGAAAATCCCAAAAATGGGATTTTTTACTTTTTTGCCCATAGGGTCCACATTTCTTTCAGGGCTGGGAAAATACTTTTGGAGTAAATAGAAAACATATTGAGGTTTCCAAAACTGCTTTCAGTTTTCTGATCCCAGCTTTGGGATTTTAGAACATGTCGCCCAAAGTTGAAGTTTTGATAAAAAATAGGTCATATTCGGAAGGACGCAGTGGCAACATTTTCAAAAAATAGGACAAGTTTTTTACGCCAAAGCGTTCTGCGTAAAGATACCTTTTAGAAAACTATAAAATTGTTATATGTTCTTAATAAAAATTTTATTTTATTAATAAAAGAGTTAAGACACATTTTTGGCAAAAAAACGCCAAAAATCTAAAATTTTTTGAATTTTTAAATTAAAAAACGTATATTTTTGGATCTGTAAACAATATTGATCTGAAATTTTTTGACCAAATTGAGTCCATTTGGTCCAAAATTACGCCCGGTATTCAAAAAAAGGCGGACCAAGGTATGGTAAATTTTGTATCACTAAATTTTTAAATGTCTATAACTCGGATATTATAAGAGATAAGTAGTATGTCCAAGCATGTTTTTTCAAGATCTCGTCGAGCGCTTTCACAAAATATAAAAATCTTTGTATTTGGGTGAAAAACAAAAAAATGGCACGAGTTTAAAAATTTTACATGTCGTAGGTACCCTACTTTGAGCCGCCACAGCGCCGTCCCTGGGGCATCTGCAGGGTTCATCTTCAAAACTTAAACTCGAATACTCCTTGGCTACGCTCACGCCAAATTTTATCCCGATCGGATCAGCCGTTTAGAAATGCCAGATTTATTTCCAAAAAATTTCCATTCTGCCCCACTGTGGCCTGATAAGGACACCGCAGTGCCATCAATGGTACCCACTGCATCAATAGCCACTTCAGGTTACCCGGAGGAGTCAAATCCAACGAGCGGGGAGGTGATCACTAACTCGCTGGAAGACAGTTCAAATGGATGACAATGATTGAGGTTATCCAAATAAACCTCCATCGGAGCGAGACGGCTACCAACGCTCTGATGGCTAAAATTAACACAGGTAAGATACTTATAGCTTTAATCCAGGAACCTTGGTTTCTGGATTAAATCACGTAAATTTTCAACTTTTCTACGCTGATACAGGGTCTCGACCGAGAACATGTATCTTATGTCACAAGAACTTATGTTTTCAAGGTCGTGGCATCATATACCTTGCATCTGTTTACCTGCTTTTCGATTCTCCGACACTACCACCAACGTCGGAGCTGATGAAACAAAAGAAAAATAAGAAAATTGTAATTGTAAAAAAGTTGTGATGCCAACTCCCACCATGTAGCTTGGGGTAGTACAAACACCAATCGCAGGGGACAAGCCCTTATGGATTTCCTTAATACTAAAGACTTGATCACATCGAACTTAGGTAATAAAGCTACCATCTGTTCAGAAGAGCTTATAAACGAAATTCAGGGTTGGAGAGTTTCAGACGAGCACTCCTTTTCTGACCATTGGTACATAAGATTCAAAATAAGTCTAAAACTAATTGGACAATGTTCGGTTCCTTACTAAAGAACCGTTTATATCAGGACACTTTTCAATGTCGAAATAAAGAGGACATAGACGTCAAAGTAGAAATGCTCACATGTGCCTTGGTTGAATCGTTCAAGGACAGCTGTCCTTTGCGAGAGCGGAGATCTGCATAGGAGAAACCCTGGGTAACCGGGGAGATCCGGAACCGTGGTAACACTCTTCGCAAACTATTTAACCGGGCACGGCGTAAAAAGATCGCAGTATACTGGGATCGTAAAGCCAATTGGAAACTTTTCTGTGAACAGGTAGACAGCGTAAATGAGCTATCGAAGATAAAAAAATATCCGAACTAAAACTCATGCGGTATACCGTAATACTTTTAAAGGGAAAGGATCCAAATTACTTGTGTAGAAAAGCTGAGGAGGCTTTGAATACAGACAAAGTTAAGTACTTAGTTACTTAGTTAAGTACGTAGAGGATAGGATCAACAAGGCACATCGGTGCTGGGCGATATGTAGGAGAACTATAGGCATGAAATGGGGTCTTAGTCCTACTATATAAAAGTGTAATTAGACCAATTCTAGCTTATGCTTCAATAATCTTGTGGACTGCTTTAGACAAAAAGTGCAATGCTGCTTGAGTATAAGTGGTGCCATGTATACTACTTCAACCAAGGCTCTGGAAACGTTGCTAGATATTCCACCGATTGAAACATATTTAAGATATGAGGCGGCGCTTACAGCCGAACGACTCTTTACTTTAGGCGAACTGGCCAAAAGCGGTTATAGGACACGTAATCAATGTACACTGGACACATTGGAAGGTTATACACAATCATCGGACGTGCCGGAAACTATGAAAATTGGGGGACAAAGTGGGGCTGAGGTTCTATATTGAAGACCTTGAAGAAGTACGAGCAATAACGGAATGCGTAAATTGGATTAGAATAAATATGGCGCCCACAGCGCTTAATATATTTACCAACAGCCAGAAGGCAATTAGGGCGATATCAGGCGATACAACTAAATCTAAGACCGTATTGGATTGTAAGAAAGCTTTAACTGAATACTCTCCCAGAGGTAAGGTTCACATCATATGGGTACCAGCCCACTCGGGAGTAGTCGGTAACGAAAGGGCGAATGTAATAGCTTTAAAGGGATGGGACCTCAAGCTCCCTTCCTGACAGACGCAACAAAAGCTGAACTAAAAATAAGGATTCTCTCACCCATAATGAAACAGTGGGTAGAACCACGAAAATCCTATGGGGTGACCCTGATGAGAGCAAAATTAGCAAATCTGAAGTTAGTATGATGGTACGTATTCCGAGTGGACACACAGGATTATTGGCGAATGTAGAGCATGTGGAGAGGACAGTGAAACTCTGGAGCACTTTCTTTGCCACTGCCAGGCATTCGTCGAAGTAAGATCCAAGTATATTGGAAGTGATGTTATTCCGGAAATAACATTCCTGACAGTTTTTTTTTCATGATAAGGAGATTTGATGTAGAATACATCCTCCTATCAATCCACCTACCTATGAAAGGTTAATTTATCATTAAATATTTTTATGAAACTTAGCATTAATTTTTTAATTTTTCATCGATTTTTATAAAATAAAATGTTTAGTTTTTATGTACCTACCTGATTTTGTTATTAATTAATAAAATTAAATGTTGAATAAAATGATATTTCTTTTGTTAAGATAGAAGGCAGAATAAAATTTTTATATTGTAAATTAATTTGAAAAGAAAAACATTTTTTCTACCCTATATCCCTAGCATATTAATTGTTTGTAGTTAGAACTAAATAGGTATTTTTAAATACCTGTAAAATAGATGTTTATGGAGCATTTTAAAAGCTAATTGTTCATTTAATTAATTGTACTTTATTTCAGTATAGCCAAAGTTTTAGATTTTGGGGAAGGATCCGAGATATCAGAAGTCGCGCATAGAATATGACGTCGAATTAAAAAATTGTCTAAGAGTGATATATAGCTATAGTCAATACATAAATATTGATATATCATATCTCGGACTTAAAATGACGACGTAATATATAAAAAACAAAAAGGGCGGTATTTCTAGGCGTGACAAAATTTTTTTTTTTATATTTTTGGAAATGTTATTTACATATCTTTCGTATCGTAAGGGTGACTGACTCAACTTTTTTTCGACCCACCCTAATGTACAATCACATTGTAATTTTTTGGTAAAAATTTTTGTTTAAATCGTATAAAAATGCTAATATACTTTTAACTGAGAAAAATAGTATATGCCCAGAATATGACTGGTCACTTATACAGATCAATCGCGACTGAGATTATAAAAATTGGTTTACTTACATGATCGCTCTGGTTATGTGTATTTTTATAAGTTTGACGATCTGGTTTTATTTCACGTTTACTCTTAATTGCATCTTTTGGTTTCACGTCTCTATTCTTTTGAGTATCGGACCTGAAAGTAAAATTACGTATTTAATTTAACATTTCTTGAAATCGGAAATAAGTATGTAAAATATTCATGACTTGGCTGGTAAATATTTTATAATACTATTTGCGGTAATCCAATATTTAACAATTTTTTTATTTCCAATTTAATTATGGCTACAAAACCAATTTGAATTTTTTTTTTAAAGTAGCGCAAAAGCTCAATGCAATCAGTGTGGCAAAGTACTTTCAATAGGAAGTTCATAAGCCTGTAAACAAACAACTCGCAACATAAAACGCCATTTGGAGAAACAACATCTTCATGAATTTAAAAAATATGAAACCTTATTGGACCAACCAAAGTAAACAGTAACATGTGCCATGAAAAATGTAGATTTTCCATCGTTTGGTTGTATGGTACATACAATTTATCTTATTCTACAAGGAAGCTTAACGCTTTATCAAGAAATAAAAACTAAATACAGATCAATAGTTAGACATTTTAAAAGGTCAGAGCAAGCATACCGAAAATTTGCATCAACTTGTTTAGGATGCTGATACCAGGTGGAACAGTACCTACTTAATTATGTGCAGATTAATATATCAAAAGGATGCTCTGTGCTTATATGCTATTAAAACTAAAAAATATAAATTATTACATCTAAAGAGTGGAAAATTATAAGTGAAAAAGTAAATTTACTGGAAAGCTTTTATGGAGCTACACTTGATATCCCGGGAGATTCGTCACCGATATCCTTAGTAATTCCCATATACCAAATGCTATTATCGAAGATTGATGAAAATGGGTCGGAAATTAAATTAAGACAATATTTAAATGATACATTAAAAAGATTTAAATTTTTAGAAACCATGACTCGATCCACGTTTAAAGTCTAAACACCTTTCTACAGAACAGCTGGAAAAATCCACACAGGATATAATTAATTATAATATATAATATTATATTGATTATAATATTATATACAAAATTTTGAAACATTTATCGTGATGATAAAAGTATCAGAGACGGAATCAAAAGCACAAAAGAGGTTAATCTTTATGGAAAAGCATGATTCTGCTTCACATCAATCTCAAGACGAAAATATTTTCGAGAAAGAAATCAAAAGCTATATATTTCAACCATTAAGTGCTCGCAAAACAAATATACATATATGAATATTGGAACTCCTGTTTATTTGCAAACCTTAAGGCTGCAGCCAGGAAATACCTATCAGCACCGCCAACGAGCGTTTCTAGTGAGCAACTATTTAGTGCTGCTGGATAACTTTATTCAGATAGACGAAGTAACCTTAAAGACATTAATCGCCTAATGGCTCATAAATCCATTTATTTGATTTAATATAATTTTTATTTAAATTGAATTATTTTTGTTTTTGTTTATTTAAATAGTTCCATGTGGTGTTTAATTTTGTATTATTTACCAAATTGTTAGTGATACTTATTGTAAGACCATTGCTGTTGTTTAGTTCAATTGTCCGTTAGGATTTTTATATTTATAACTGAACGCATTCTTTGTCCCTATATTCTACTGCAGTATTTCCGTTCAGTTTACTTATTTGGAACTGAACTGTTGTAAAAGTGCATAAACAAAAAGAAATTTGTAGGCTCAGTATTAACTAGCTTTATAATTAAAGTTTAGTTTGTTGGGGATATAGACTTCGGTAAGTCGCTTAAATTATTTGTTTTCCTTTGTAATAATTTTATTTTTTAGCAGAAATAAACGGTTGCTCAATTTAATGTATAATATTTCAAACAATTTGTGGTTCATTTATTTGGGACTTGTTAAATTCGCTGCCCTCGACATATAGGCCCAGGTCGCAGCCAGCAACAATATAAAAACAAGCGAGTGTTATACTCGGCTGCGCCGAATCTCAAATACCACCATCAAACCGTATGCAGTAAAAGGAATGCTTCCCTATAAACATCAAGATGATATTACCCATCAAATTAACTGAAGAGGACTTTATATGAGAGATAGGGTTTATTATTGACCGTTTTTATAAAATTTTTCATAATTTTTTTTAGACCGATTTTGGTTCATATAAAACATCTTTCCGTCACTTTCCGCATGAAATTCGGTAGGAAGATTTACATTCCTATAAATTGTTCTTATAACAAATTTCATAATTGTTCACGTATTTTTAAGTCAGCAATGATTGATTATTATTAACCAAAATTTATTATTTTTATTTTGCATGTCGTCATATGAGTTACAAAAAAATCAAAATCGACTTTTTGATTGATTATGATGCACCGTATTAAAATAAATGTTCCTGCTAAATTTTACACTCCTACAATCAAAATCATATACCTTAAAATTCATGAAAATTTAAAAATTATTTTGAGTTCAAATAAAACAAAAATGGCACTTTTAGCGAAACCTTGCGATTTATAGATTTTTTATAACAGCTTTAGAATTCCAATTTCCGAAAATGTTTTTGAAAACAAAGAAGCCTTATGCTTTCCATGTTTCGGCCTATTTAGTTAAAAATATTGAAACTTGCTATTTTTTAATGCAACTTACGCCCTTTTGGGTTTCAGAAAAAACAAATTCTCAAGGGCGTAAGTTTCATATCTCCGCAATTAAAACAAAAACCGCAAATTTTTCTTCAAATACTAATTTATCAATTAAAAATAAGATTAACTTGAGAAAAAATGTACATGTGAAGAAAAGAGTGTTGCACCCAATTTACACGATGAATTTTTTTCATGTTTGCCCAGATGTCTGTTTTCATGTTTGTCGATGATTGGTGGTGAGCGGGGTAGAGAAGAATGGGGGGGAAAGAATAAAAACATTAAAATTTGTATTAAAAAATACTATTTATTATTTTTAATCAAACTAAATAGTTTTTATGTTAAACATTTAATTTTACTTTTATTACGAATAAGTAATTAAAAAGGATTATAAAACTAAATAGCAAAAACGACATAAGTAGTTGCATGTAAAAAATCACCGTATAAATTGTTCATGATTTTTTGGAAGATTCTCAAAAGAGAATTGGAAAAAACAGACGTCTGAAAAGTCTTCATGTAAATTGCGCCTAGCAAAACAGGCACGAAACGTAATTTGAAGGGTTTTTTCGACAATGCTTTTGTAACACTTTCGGAATTTTGGTGGTTGCTTTATTTCTATTCTGCTCTCACAGCATAAAGATCGTGTGCTATTACTATCACACATGTTAAGTGTTGCCACTTCCAAAAATTTAATTTATTTTCTTATATTTTATTTTATCCGAAAGCAATTGATTTTTCAAATGTTAGCTTATTAAAATTAAATTATTTCCTTAATCTATATCACGAATTCCAAGAAAGAACACAGAAAAACTGACAATTTTTGACCTCATGCCTTCCAATTTCCTTCATATCATTAATATATGTTCTTTATGTAGAAAATAAAACAACTCAGTTGTTTATTTTGAAATTTTTCAATAAATGCGATATTTATGGCGATTTTAATTTGTTCGAAAACTACAAAAAATCAAAAAGGTATAAAACTTTAAAGATTTATATCTTTGAGAGTTTACATCAGATTTTTTTTTTGATTTAAAACCCAATCTATTACTATGGATGAACTCTTTCATTCTAATATAATTTTTATATTAAAACGTTTAAGATAGTGCATTTTTTAAAGAAATGCACTTTTTTAATGTATTTTTGAAATTGTTCTCCCTGTTGAAAAAGTTTTAGAAGTGCATAAATCGATTATTTGAAGCCTTTTATGCAAAATATTAAAATATTTTGTTGTGACGTGCATTACATCTATTTTTGTCGATTTTTTTAAATATTTTATATTGGAAAATTTTTAAATATTATTGATATTTTATGCATTTCACAGAATTTAAAACCGCTTAAAATACATTACTGATCTGAATTGGAATGGAATTCATGATATATATAAAATTCTAACGTTGCTGACTGACTGATTCATCATCGCACAGCCTAAACGGTTGAAGCTAAAGAGCTGAAATTTGGACAGGAGGTTGGTCTCCCACCAAATAGATCCACTAAGACTGGATTTTTGGAAATTCGAATGTTTAGTGGGTAAAAAGGGTAAAAACGGGTAAATTCGGTAACCTCATATCTACTAAACTAGAAAAGATACAAAAACAGTTTAAAGTTTATCGTCGTTCATTTAATAAATAAGACAGGTGTCTGATACTTTTTTTCAAAATCGGCCCCTATAGGGAATAAACGGGTAAAAGCTGTATTTTGGTACTTTTTTGGCACCCCATGTATTTTTTAAACCAGTGAACATTCAAAAAATATTTTTGAGTCCTTCATAACTTAACGAATAAATAAAAATATGAATTCAGTATTTTTAGGATATTCGGACGTTTAAGAGGTGAAAATTGTACCCATTTTTGGTACTTTTTTCATAAAATATTGTTTTCTATGTATTGATTTGTACATGTGAATGAATACTTAATGATGGGCTCCCACTACGATAAAATGTTTATTACTTCAATAGGGGAAAAAGTACCAAAAGGGGGAAAACGAGAAATTTGATTTTATTCAAACTCACTGACCCAATTTTAATAAAATTTTAGAAATTGATAGATTTAGTAACACTAAATACACCAATGGGATTTTTTGGTACTTTTTCGTTCTTCAAAAGGTACTTTTTGAATTTTCTATAATATTGTACCTAGAAACATGAAACTAAGCATGTAGAGCTCCAAGTAAGTGAGAACGTATAAAAGGTGTCTTCTTGGTACTTTTTCGTTCTTCAAAAGGTACTTTTTGAACTTCCTATAATATTGAACCTAGAAACATCAAATTAAGCATAGAGAGACCGATTATATGAGAATCCATTAAAGGGGACTTTTTGGTACTCTTTCGTTCTTTAATTGGTACTTTTTGAGTTTTCTATAATATTGAACATAAAAACATAAAATTAAGCATGTAGAGACCGGAGAAAATGAGAACCCATAAAAGGAGACTTTTTCGGTACTTTTAACTGGTACTTTTGGAGTTTTCTATAATATTGAACCTAGAAACATGAAATAA